AATATTCCGTTTGAGTGGTTTTAACGTTTATCATGAAATTACTCCTTAAAGTATAGTTTATAAACATTTATATTCACAGTAAATTTAAAAAACGCTACTTACGGTATGTTTTCAATAAATAAACACCGAAATCACCAGCCCAAATAATAACACACACAATTGTCGTGACGTATTTTTGAAGTTGTTTATTTTTTTAAATGACAGACCCAGGCATTAAGAACTTTATGGTTTGCTAGAGTAGTTACCGAAATAGCAATTAATATTAATTCTTTCACCTGTTATAACTTCGATATCCGGATAAATCGGTATAAAATCATCACCGGCACCTCTAGGTGTGGTATGCGTCTACGGCTGCATGTATCGCGTGAGCGGATAAGGTACCCCCAGCAGGTAACCCCAGCTGCGCTTCTGCGTTTGCACAGAGTTATCAAATAAAAAAAATACGGAAACTTTTTATTTAACTGTACAAAACGTAATGTTAATACATGAATAACCACTACATTACAACTAACACTAGGGAAAGCCTGTATTGTGGTTATCAGTACAGAAAGTTTTTACATAAGGACTTATTTTACTATACTATTAAAATAATTACAAAAGAAATATGATAAATTTTAATAATATTAATAACAAATATAAAAATCACAGAAGGGCAATAAATACTGTGTGTGTGATTGTGTTTGTGTGTGTGTGCGAGCGTGTGTGTCTGTGTGTATGTGTATGGAGTGTGTGAGTGTGTGCGTTTGTTATGATCGCGAATTAATAATATCAACAATGTAATATTATTTGTAGAGCATCTTTTGTTTTACAGGTTAAAGTCAAAGAATCATTTATTTCACATCACATTCATTTACGTCACATTTAAGCTACTGCTCGCTCACTACGCTGACTTCCCTGAGAAGAACGAGCAAGAAACTCTAGGGATTGGTCTTTTCAAATAAATTTAAATGCTACGGAATACATTTTCAATCAAATTTGTGTGGAATCTGGAGTCATGTCGTCTTTCCATACGTAATTAATAGATTCAGGCGTTACTTTGCGGAAGTCCATGTTAATAAAAATGGAAGTAAATTAATTTGCTACTCCGCGAACCCAGTGAAGGTTAAATCATGCAAAATAGCTGAGCTTGTGTTGAATATTTTTTCATACAGTATAAATAAAATTTATACAATAAATAACACAAAAAAAATGTATATTTTTACGGGCATATAAAATTTTTGAGTAAATGTAATGGTGTAAATCAAGATTGTGATGCGACAGTCATGATACCAGTCTCCTTAAACTTTTCTCTAAGAGAAACCCGAGAGCCTAAACGATACATAGAATGAATCGCTCGTTTTTACAATACATATATGGTTTGAATGTCTGCCGTTTTACCCCACATGAGAACCCCGTAGGACATTATACTATGGAAGTAACTAAAGTAAACTAGTATAGTAGTAATCGGTAAGCTCACGTATTCTGCGGACTGCGTATGCAGCGGAGCTTACTCTGCTGGCCAGGGAAGATATATTACAAGCCATTGAAGTTTACTGTCTAAGGTCACTCCCAAGAAGACTGCTTTATTAACAAGGTCTAACTTTTCTCCGTTTATTGCTATGCTTGGATTAGTCGATTTTACGTTAGGTAATTCAAATTTAACATATTTTGTCTTCGTGGCATTAAGCAATAAATTGTTAGCATTAAATCAATAAACTACCTTTGAGACGGTATCATTAATATAGTCACAGTTAACGTCATGTCTGTCTGTTTTAAAAATCGAGGATGTCAGCAAACAATGCTATTTCGCAATGGTCCTTAACAGAGAATGGCAGATCATTAGTATAAATGAGAAATAAGAAAGGTCCAAGTATAGAGCCTTGCGGAACACCCATTTTGCCCGGAGAACCCAAAGAAGTCACTCCAAATGTCTACTTTCTGAATTCTAACGTTGAGATATGACGAGACTAGTTCCAACGCCTTGCAGGAACAAGTAACGATTCTGCGTTCTCGTACGTCATGTTCATTAACACCTGTTTTAATTTTCATTGGACTTCTTGTACCGACAGATGTCTAAAATCGTGTTCTTAGAATTTTAGAATTTTCTCAATAACGATTTTAAATCGCTCTAATCTATTTTTATTTTTGTTACAAAGTAAAATCTGATAAATTATTAAAAGTATAGAACGAAAGTTATAGTTAACGATGTTAATATTTTTTTTTTTCGTTATTAGTATATCACAAAAAGCCCGGTATATTTATTTAGTAATTACAAACTGTATCATCTACGTGACAAGTGTTATTCAGGAAATAATTACACGACTTTACAACGATTTATGACTTTCAAATCGTTCCTAAGATCCCCAAATCCTCTTAATTCTGAAATCTCATTAAATATACAAAGCACGGCCTCCTTTTGATGTGTCATTAAAACATATCAAATTTCGTGACGTATTAAGGTCGCACGTCTGCTTCAACTGAAGATTCCTCGAGTCAAGAATAATTGAGTGAATTACACAGACCCTGTAGAAATTACGTCGAATAAGGATTCCGCTGAATTTGACAGTCTTAACACTGGACTGGATCTTATTGGATCTTTTTTATACTACAATTTTTTCATTGACTTACAATTATATGGACGTCGGGTCCGCGCTAAAAAGTGTCCGAACTTATAGGACGTTAAAATCGTATACAGAGCGTCATTCACGCTTTAGCCTTCGTTTGTTCGACTGACAGCGAAGCAAGCAAAATTAGACAGTACTGCGATGACATTACAATTTAAATTCAACGTTTTAGCTTTTTCATATTCCTTTACGTGTCACTACGTTTAAATAGGTTGACTTAAGACATTTTTTTCGTGGTTTTTGTATTAGACCCGTCGTCCATTTATTAATTTTTTTCTTTTTTTCATAATATCAAGTAACGGGATAAACAAGTCGTGCACCTTCTTGTAAGCGCCTATCCGTATACGCCACATAACAGTTGTAGTACCATTCTGAGTTTTAAATCGCAAAGATCTGAGGGGCATTGCCACTGTGCCTGTCACCCTGAGACATAAATTGACAAGTTCCATGTACCTGTAATTTCACCAGCAGCCTTTAGAACCGGAACGCAATAAAACTCACATTATACGGCAGACATAGGTAAGATGGCAGGTCTTCCCTGGACAAAGCCTTTCACAAGGAGCTCTACTGCAACTAAACAAATAATACGTATAGTAACGTTTTAATAAACACGTATTTAATACACACATATAATATTGTGTATTATAAAAAAATCGTCAACGGGGGCCTTAGTGTAGGTTTTCAAATACGTAAACGTAACTATCGTGTTTGCGTTAAGAAATTAATTTAAACTTTGTAAACATATAATTAAGGCCTAAATAAAATTTACAGGCCTGAGGACTTTAATCACATGAAAATCATAAAAATAACGTACTCGCACAACGCACACAATCATAGCCCCGCACTAAAAAAACCCTGTATCACGGGTGCCATGGAGACACGCATTGACAACCACAAAATTACATCCAAACTCACAAGAGAAATAAATTTGCCGTCTGCTTATTAGAATGTGGCTAAGTGATAACATATTTTTTGAGATGTCATAAAAAACCATAACCAAGTTTTAGAATATTGAAATTATTTAATAATATTTTATCTAAGCATCGTTAGGGTAAGTTCTGATAAGGCGAACTTGTTAACTAATTTGAACTGTTTTTAAATATATTTGAACTGTTTTATATGCTACGAACTACATGAAAAAAAATTATGTTAAAAGGTTACATAAGAAAATAAAACATAGAATAACATACCTCCCTATGAATTACCGGAATTGTTAATATTGTATTTTGTTATTATTATTAATACGAAGCTAGAATAATATAAAGAAGAATCACTCCGCTCAGTTGGTAAGATCAGTAGCCCCGGCATGGCAACAGACGCTGGTTCGAGTCCAGTCAGATCAAAGGAATTTATAGTATTGTCCGTAAAATGTATCAATAATAGTTATCAGTGGAGTATTTTCAGAAAAAATATTTAAAAATCATCTTGGTGAATATGATATGCAATAGATAAAATCGTCGACTTTAGTGCAAGATGTCATTAAAGGCAAAACATCACTAAGTACAGTTAAA